AGTTGTCGAAGCAGATTATATTTTCAACTACATTTCAATTTTGTGCTCACTGGAAAATTTGGCATTTCGCGCATGCTTGTATCAGTGGTTTAATGCTAATGGGTATCTGACATTCTGAAAGCCCCACCTCAGTGTCTGTCTGCTTGAATAAGTTTCCGTTCTTCCACATTGAAACCAGTAATTACATTATCACTTACATGTTCATTTTCTTGTGGTAGGTCAGAGAAGATTCGATAGAACTCTTTATCATATTATTCATAGTCTATTTCATGCTTGTTTAGGAGGTGCATAAGAAATCAGTTTTTGTCAAGAACTTTATGATGTGTTCTGAATCATTCGTTTAGGAATCACAGATACAACTACTATATATGATCTTTTTAAGTGGATTTTATACCCGGAATGTGATGCATTACTTTGACTGGTAAAACTTCAAGATCTCGCAGTAAACATCCCAGATGAACCCTACAGACTCACAGCACCTTTTGAGGTTAGACCGCATGAAACCTAGAACGCATATACGTCTGTCAGAAACAGCATACACCTATGATCCACGGATTTAGAACTCTCTTTGTAAGGTGTGACATAAGATATGCTCGAGAGCAGTGAAAGTAAATCCTATACCCTGAAATGAAAATGCCAGGTTATAAGGGACTTCGAAAATTAACTTTTCAATCGAAACCCACAATATGGGTTACTGAAGTAAAAAAAAGCCAAATATTCAGTTCTGTTGAGAAAATAAATAAATAAATAACCAGATCAATTCTGCAGTGATCGAAAGTGTAATGTGGAAATAAAAAGCTGAGCAAATATTGGTCCATAATATTTTATTAACTGCTGATAGAACATGTTAGTAAGCACAACCTGGATTTCCTTAAATGTCGCTTATCTTCAGTTAATCATATGTACTCTCATATGTCCATTTATTTCTTTTCCTGGGATTTGAAGTTCATTTTAAAAATCATTATTAAAGGTGTGAGCTAGTGTACAGTTTGGATTATTTGACCCGTGTTCTCCTCCTGAAGGAGATGAGAAAATAGGATTTTTCTATGTCACTATGAGAACTGAAAGTTTAAAATGAATGTAGTACGTGGATGCAATGATATCTATCATTGTTATCGCTCACTGTAATAATTCAGATTTGAAATCTTAAGATTTCATGGCAAACATATTCCAGTCGAGTCAGTCGATAGAAAAGTAATTGTGTAAAACGTTTAGGCACTAGTGTTTTGTTACCAATATTTCTGATAAAAAATCACTTACTGGATTGGTAGAAAAATGGATATTTGCAACCATAAAATAGTTGGAAGCTATGTCATATGATCAATGCAAAAACCAGTTAATTTGGTAATGAATTACAGCGACCCATTGTTTTGTGTATGCGAATATATAGACATAAATACGCGGATTTCTAGAAAGTCTATCTGTAACTCAATATCATTCACTCATCATAATTTGTTGAGTTTACATCGCCCGAAAATTCCCTATTTCTATACAAGAGTTAACTGAAACCCACATTCCAAAAACCAGTGAAAGATTATGTTCTTTAACATCACAATTTACAAAAGTAATTTTTGTAAATGACGATTTTGTGAGGAGGAGACTTCAAATGAAAATCTAAATCAGACTTATTAACTTCATCCAGAACATTGTGATACAAAACGTTTTACTAGATGATGTTTAAGGCACAACTTGGTGACCCTGACCATATCATATCAGAGCAAAGAAAACAGCTCAGATATGCGAAATATATACATTGTAGTCAAAAGCTTAGGTTTTTTACTTACTGTAACAAATTTGTGTGTTTTATTGGTGGTATGAGATTTTATAACAAGACGTGTAAGCGAACAATATTGTTTTCAATTAGATCTCATCAGGCTTCACTCTAATATACATAACCTTCAACATATTTGCAAAATATCAACCAGTCAAGGTAATTTGTGGGTTAGAGACAACAAAGAATATGGAGTGTAAAAAGGTTAATACGAATGTTCATAATGACACGACAGTGTAAAAAGATGTTCAGATAGACAGACGGACAAAGTAGATCAAACACTGAAGAATAAAAAAGAAAATAAGGCTGTGTGATATTGGGGGTTGAAGGCGGTGAATAAATAAAAGTTGAATGTGAATATAGTAGTTGCGTGAAAGGAGTGACAAAATGAAATAAAAATAAAGAGAAGTACATCTTTAAATTCGTAAGTAAGGTCATTCATTAGGTTCTCCCTAAGATTTAATTGTCTTCAAACTCAATCATGCATGAGAATGACATAAAAGAGAAACATTTATATATACTAATTATAAAGGCCTCCTTACAAGGCTTGCATTAAGGTTTGGTCATACAAATAATGATTTCAGTCAACGTTTTACTAGTGCATATGGATAAAAGATGTTATAAAAGCATCTTTTCCTGTTCCCCACTGTTACTTGCATAACACTGGACAATCTTTACGAAAGTCAAATGCCATTGTATTGGTCAAATTATATATGATGCATTTGTAGTACTGTGAAGACAGCAAACAGAAATCAATGTTTTAAATGCAAAACTCACATTATAAATAAGATCTGGAATATTGTTTCTACTGAAGACCAATACGACAAACTGAGACTTTTATGCACAGTCTCACATTAAAAAACACAATCCAACAAGCAGATTATAGGGCAGGAAGAATGTGAGAAGTAAAGAATTCTAAAAGAAGGATTAAGTGGTTGATTTTGTAGTAAATTCAGAGTAACTTGCAATAAAATTTGAGAAAAAATAGGTAAAGGAATGTCATAGATAATACGGTAAATCACTTTTTTAAACTCATATATTCCCATATCAGAAATTACCACAATTATTAATCTTCGTCCTGGTTTGTATGTCATTTAAAAAGGTAACCTATGAAGATTTCGTCAAAACTGTATGGCTACAGTAATAAAGGTAACGTGAAAAATGTGCAGTATGTAAAGTTATTGTGTAAAAACATCGAACCATAACTGTTATTCTCTGTCTGCGTACCATACAGTAAGACAGTATTATTTACCAGATTATATTTCAACTAGAATTCACTACTCACATTTATACCAAGGTTATATATATATATATATATATATATATATATATATATATATATATATATATATATACATATATTACATTCACCTGGTAGCAGAAAAGGTAATATTTCCAAAAGCAAGTTAACAAACTTCATTTTTGATTAGAAATCTAGATATTCAAAACATAAACTACTTGATGTGAAAATAAAAATCCACTGAAAGCCGAAACAAAAACAAGTAACTAAGTTGCATGATATAGTATGGCCTGAAAGAATTAGGTGCAGTTTAACAGCGAGGAATTAGACTAGTAAGGTTGGAGGCAGAATATAAGAACAGGTAACCAAGTTGCATTACATAATACACCTAAAACAAGTGAATACAATTTAAAAACCAAGCATTAGGTTGTTTAGATAGAAGAGTATGTGTACTTATTAGTGTACCTGCTTTTCTGCAGCAGGGTATTTTGGGCCATACTCAGTGTCAGCTTTCTAAACACAGAATCGAACTTTTACCATCTTGGATATACAGTGGCGAAAGAAGATTCTCCGGTGGTCGAATTGCAGAAGATTTGACCGATCCCGCGCGCCAGGTAGACCTGTTATCTAACTTCAGTGCCAACCACACAGTGCATGGAACTTTGACGAAATAAATAAAAATTCAGACTGCAGGAGCAACGGCAAATTATATTCTTACTCCTCAACTCTCTATATGAAAGACTTTTGATTAGTCATTAGAATTACGACAGACTTAACTCGTTGAGAGATTTTGCCATTTTCAAATGCCTTTGTCCTCTTGCTCCTGCTAAATTATTACGCTTCCTTTTCTTATGGCATATTCTCCCAACTTAATAATCCAATCCTCCATTGTTTATCTGCACTCAGTTCTTTCAGGCCATACTATATCATGCAACTTAGTTACTTGTTTTTGTTTCGGCTTTCAGTGGATTTTTATTTTCACATCAAGTAGTTTATGTTTTGAATATCTAGATTTCTAATCAAAAATGAAGTTTGTTAACTTGCTTTTGGAAATATTACCTTTTCTGCTACCAGGTGAATGTAATATATATATATATATATATATATATATATATATAAACGCTAATGTGTAACTTGAGAATGTCACAGGAAACAGATGTTTGCTGGAATTCCTCTTCATTCTTTATGGTAAAAGGAGTAAGTTTAAGAAGAAGGTCGACAGCTGATGTAGTACGCTGGATAAATTCTTTTCTAAATGAGTTCATATGTTTTGGTCAATTGCAAACAACTAATAACCCCAGCAGGATTAATAAGTCATGAACCAAACCAAGTTCAGAATGAAATATCTCAGTAAAATGAGTACTCTGGAGAAGAAATCAGCCACTCTTATGCATGTGATAATATATAACTACACAACAGGTTAGAATGGAGTAATTCCCGAAGAATCATTCAATTCAATGAGGCAGGCCAACCGGTGAATTGTTGTTCGACGCTTATATTCTTAGCATTTGCAGCGGAGCATTGATTTTAGATATACAAAAACTTTTATAGTCAGTAAGATCAAAAACAAAATAGTAGAAGTATTAAAATCAGTCCAAGGAGTTGTATAATCACTTTGAAATGAACGTGAGTAATGAGTCCTACTTGAAATATTATCCAGTAAATAATAGTTTTGTCTCATGACATACACTATAAAGGAACTACGGTGAAGTTATATTCTCTCATAGTGCCAAGATTATGCTTTCAAGTTAATATCAAATCATCAGATGGGAATTCTACAGATGACTGAGTGAAATACTGAAACTACATCTTAGTCTTTTTATTAACCGAAGTTTTCAGACAGTAAAAGCATTACTTTTCTATTAGTAATTGTGTTATGAATACAAGATTGATCTATGAGCTATTTGCCATTAATTTTTGATAGTCATTTTAAGTTAAAGGTTTTCAAGGTAAGTCACGAGTTTCAATACACAAATAAAAGTTACTTACATTTCAAATTACGCAAGTCCACATGCTTCAAAGTTTCCCCATCTTTGTAATTTTTACGGATAATCATTGCTGCTGAATCTAGCTCATCATGTATCTTGTAACCCCCATTGTTTGCTCTTATTACACGTAAATTTGACAAAGGGATGCGATTGACATTCGAATGCATGATGATCAGGTAGCCTGATATTTCTTGAATGGATTTCAAAAAGCCCAAGTCTGGATCTGATCCACCAGCTAAAGTAAAAATGTATACGAAATAATGAGTTCTTCGTGTAAAAAACGTACTGGTTAGTGCTCTAAATAAACTAACATTGGATCATATTCATTCAAGTATTTAACAAAAGGTACTTAGTGAAGCAAAATTGTGTTCATAATCTGAATTTAAAAAATGTGGACGTGCTCAAATTCTTTTTTAACTAAAAGTAAATACACAGGCTTGAACAAATATTTTTCTTCTGCAAAGTTCAAAAGGAATGAAGACTTGTTTTCTTCGGTATGCCAGCTGTCAAATCCAGCCATTTAAAAAGTAAGTGACAAAATAATAGGTGCAGAACTAGGATACGTGTAATAGATCATTTCATAGCTTTTGGCAACACCCTGTAATTATTGTTAGAGGAAAGAACTCAGAGATACAGGGATAAATATTAACTTGGTGAACTGAATTATTATGCAAGTAATATATGAGGTGCCAGGAATTACGACGGTGTAATTGTTTGGTGATAAGGAATGTTACAAGTCACTCCATATCTTTTATCTAAAGCACGAATTTTAATCTAAGGTTTAAAATGAAATAATAACTCACGAATAACAGATAACAATGATACTTAATCTTTCAACTTATGTAGTCAGTTAAAACTGATGAAGCATTGTCAAAGTTTTCTTTCAGGATCATTCATCTATCGAAAGAAGTTCAGGTACAAGTACGAAGCTTTTCATTCTCTAATATAGAATATCCATAGAAGTCTACATTATAGCCAGACTGCAATACACTCTATATAGATACATACCTGAGACCTTAAAGATGACAAAAGAGAAAATACCATGATGAATCTATTGATTTCTTGAACCCATGTGCTATCGTTCTTTTTGCAGCGTGTCACTATTTTCTTCTGTTATAAGTTTGATAGACTATTTCTGTTCGATACTTAAAATACTTGTATTTCAGATAAAATCACAAAATCCAGCAAGTAATTCAAATAAAAAAATATTTACTAACTGATAACAGCTGAATATCTTCTCTTCGAAACGAAAAAAGAATTTGTCCGATTATCTTAATCGAGAAAGAAATTTTAATAAAACAAAACTGAGTGACTGGAACAGTCGCTATTTTCAGTGAAACTAAGCGAAATCCGATAGATATTTCTAACCAGCTCTTTCTATGGAGCGGGTCCATAATTTAGATAGATTGGAGCTGTTTAAAAAAGCTGGAAATATACTTGAAGGACTATGCAAGCACTAGTTGCTCATGGAACTGTGGATCTAGATATAAAAAATGTAACATCTCAAAGCAACATGTATTTCACTGTGATAGTATTTGCCGATTTAAAAACTTGGCATTAGGTTCTTTACTACGTGAGTCTTAGCACCCTCATGTTAAATGTAAATGGATGGGCCGTGTATACATTAGTGAGCACCAATCTACTAATTAGAAACGCGTAATATGTGTGTTGAAGTCGCTAAAAAGATACTTGTTCATTTCAACTTTAGAGACTGATGGTAACGCCGCACCGCAAAGAGGTGATACCTTGCCATTTTCTCCTTTAAATAGCAATATCGATTCGCGTTTAAAAACGCTACATCAGAAGTCAATAGATAACGGAAAGGTTTCTGAGTAATGTAAAGACTAAGTTCATGATTACATTTTGCATTTTTCTTACCATTATCGTATGAAAATCAGTTTCATTGCTTCCTCAATTCGGCCTAATATTGCATTACCTTAGGAATTGGTCCATCATCCTTTATTATTGTTATATTCCATTTAGTTTCTGGAGATAACCATCTATTTTATGAAATTCCTGGTAAATTTTTCAGCACACCAACACTCGTAGTGATAAACAACATAACAGCACCACCGCATATAATTTTCAAGATCATGATATCGAGAACAAATCAGTGTTGAATAGACTAATAACAAGCACTTTGGAAAACTAATTCAGTCTCGATTTGTCGCCTTAGTTATTGTTCCGAAACCGCCGGAAAATCTCTCTCAACTGATTACATTGGGCTCCTACGTTTTGGAAGTTTTAGAGAAAGCATGCTTATGGGCATCACTTTTAATTTTAATTTTAGTTAGATGTTAACATAAGCACCCAAATAAACACAGTTTATGAAAATCGGCAAGACAGTTTCGACAACTAGCTTATTTTTGAATAAACACTGAAGGATACTTGAGTCCTAAAATTTTCAGTACAGTGAGCACATTAATTTATTTCACAAACTTTTACCACAGTTTAGTGGTTTAACTTCTATAGTAGAGCTCAGGACAATATTTAATGTTACAGCAAAGGTAGGTGATCTGAAAGTATATCGCAGCTCTAGTATTGGAATCTATATTGATTTTCGCTGATTCACTATGCCAGATAGAGATAAATTATATTTCGGTGGATTAAGTTTCTAGTCTATATAAACACTAGCAGATCGCATGGCCGATGTTAAATTCGGTTTGCTAATTTATACGTACAGGGGTCGATAATCTATCAACTGCGTTTTAATAATTACGACAAGATCGGTGGTCAGAGACTTTAAATCACATGGCTTAGAATCGATCTTAGTACCTCAGTACCATCCACAAATTTTATTTGTCCTAGTGACCATACAGAAATTTCCTGCTGTCTTATCGCTTCCTCTTCTTTTTGGGACTTCTACTTTTGATTACTTTATCCATTGTTTATATCCATCAAAGTGCTTTTGCACCTTGATATGCTAATGTGATGTGTGGTAACTTACTGCATCATGTAGTCATCCTAGAACATTTGTTGACGTCGAATGACTGACTAACTTTTAGCGTATACACAACATTAACACCACATTTTGTAAATAATTATAATTCTTATATTACATGGAGAACAAAAACCACGAATTTCACTAAATGAATTATGTAAATTTGGATAATATAGAATCTTACTTGACGTTTCTTGGAAAATCATATTACACTTTATTTCCCTTCAGTTATACAATAGAAACAGGTCGCTAAGGTTTCAGTGTTTTTTCGCTGAGTTACATTTAGACAGACAATCATTTCATCAAACAGTAACAACATGTTCAGTATTTTACTCCAACAGACTGCTTGCACACGATTCATATTTAAAAACTGCATGAAATGGTCACTCTAATACTCCCCTGGTAAAATTAATAACTAAATTAATGCTATAAAATCTGAATTCCAGTCAGATGGTTTTTAAAAGTTTTTATTAGCAATCTCTCAATCACAAGTTCCTATTATCATGCTGAGACTTATATTGGTTACTTTAAAGCATAAATAAGTAGCACTTCTCTGTATAAGTACAGTAAGGCAAGCACTAAGAGAAAAACTTAGAAAGATGACTGAACAAACTTTAAAAGAGTCGAATTTCTGACAAATCTGCTTGACAGCAAATGATTAGAAATCCGATACTATTGAATAGGCTTAAAACAAATGTTGGTCAATAGTGAAATTTTCATTGAATTTATAGAACCATCTACACGAACAATGCGCTTTTTGTGTATGATTATAAAATGAGAAAATAATCATAACCAGGAGACAGTTTTATAAAGTAATATGCACCAAAGATCAAACTGTGCGGATGATATTTATCTTAAATTATTGGTCCAATAAAACTGAAAAAGAAATGAGCGAAAATTTATTCGAAAAGTTTTTGTGCAGATATTCATCCTATGAAATTTCTTTATGTACTTTTCTGTACCTTAAGAATTCACTGATACCAAAAACATCAGTGAACAGATCTATGTAAGTTTACATGTCGTGCCCCTCAGTCTGAATCATAAAACCTGGTCATTTCGTGACCTAAGACCAAAGTGAAATAATTATTGTCTATATTGTGGTTTTTGTTAAATGCTTAAAAAATGAAGCAATATTCAAACTTGTATTCTTTGCCAATAAAATCACAAATTCCTTCAACACTGTGTGCTTCTTTCAATTGCATGAGAATACTGACAGACAAATATGAGGGAACTTCGTGTGTGTATACTGACACTGCATATATTCACATGATTCACGTGTAGATTTTTTGCGAGTCGGTTATTTGTAGCTCTTAGCATCGTTATTATTGATTGATGTAATTACGTAGATGTTATTTACTTGGTTATACGCGCATGCATCTTTGTTTCTTTGTCTACCTGCATTTTCATGTGAGAGTACTTATGAGTAGGTTAGTGAGTACACAACGGCAAACCACATTTCATATACTTTAATTAGTCACAATGATCAATAAAGATGAAGTCTAGATTTTGTACTTAAATACAATAAAAATATGAATGATTTATTAGGATAAGTACGATAAAAAGCAACCTGAAATATTGGCAAAGAACAAAGTTAAGAGTATTGATTTCAGCTGGCTAGATTTCACACTTTTATTTCATTAAATAAGGATTTAATGGTTCCTTGTTGCCAGTTACACTCTGATGCAAGAACAATAGCTTCCTTTGTCCAAGTATATTTTATTAAAGAGTACGTCAGCGTAACATTGAAAGTACTTGATGAAATCTTCATGACTAAGTTATTTTCATTATTAATTAAGGATCTAATTCAACTAAATACTAGCTATCAGTAACTCTATTATAGCATAGGAGCGTTTAGTATAAACCTGAGCATAAAAAAAGTGGTAGACAAAGAGAAAGAAAGTAGAACTGTCGACTGATTAACTACTGCGTTAGATACTAATTTTACATATTTTGCAGGATACACGGACTTTTGTGAAACCATTACTACTACTTTCAGGATGAGCCGTTGTAAGCTTAATTCTCAGCTGAAACCTTTTTGTTTGGTCATCATTTTACACTACTTCGAAGACAAATTTTCAATGAAAACCGAAAGATACTACGGAAAACAGTTCTAGTTTAGTTTCCAACTCACTAACCCTAATCTATGAAATGTTGATGAAATCAACTGAATTATACTATAAATACTGAATACAATAAATTTGTTCAGAAACAGTTCTGCATACGAGAATTTCGCCTGACTATTATATAGCTAAAAACGCTTAGTTCTTTCAACTGGCTTGATGGTCTCATCGTATTATTCATTTCACAGCTATAACAATATTTCGATAAAAACCATTTTCATTTTTCTACAAGTAATCTGCTGTTTATACTCAGTTTCAGGTACAAATAGTAAAATGGTGTTTATAGCCTGAGGTGAAACACTTACCTGCTGTCTTGTACTGTTGTTGCAGTTTGTTTTTATTGGAGGTTGGAATCCTAACTGATCAAAAAAATGTGAGCAATAATAAAATTGTTCGCTCAAACCCATTAGATATAAAATGTGAAATAATATCCCCAGCTGAATCTTAAACATTTTATCCAGTATCCTACTATAGTTCGCACGAGTGGATTTTTTTCTGAATGGGTTTTTAGCTAATATTTTAATATCTGCCCGTTAGTTATTAGGATAATCAAAAACATCTTAATGCACCTACATGAATTATTTTCTTTCATTATATAAAACATGCAAGATTTCAGAAATGATATGTATTTCTTGAGAACAGATAGAAGGTCTTCTTTCAGCAAAGGTACATTGGACAACCTCTGACGGCTGTTCAGACCGAAAGTGAAAAAGTCATCTACTAGTCTGAATGTTTGCTTCTCAGCTGGTTTCCATTAGACTAACCGAAATTTTAACAGATATCAGCTGATAATACCTGCTCGCAAACGTTTCTCGAAACAACACTCACGAATAATAAATGCAGTGAGTGGTTACGTTGACGGTGGCTTTTTTTCAAAAATGTATAGGTTTATTAACTTAAGGTTAGAATGTATCATTGTTATGATCCTAGCTTATCATTTAGGTGGGCTCATCAATAATGAGTTAATAAAACAATAGTGAAACAGAACTTTCATTACTTGTTTGGTTTTCTGCGGGTGAAAGTGGACATTCCTTGTTTTTTTCAAAAAAATATAAAAACTTGGGTTAGTGATGTACATTAAGTTTTAGAAAACAATGAATCCAGTGGGAAAATGCTTATTTTTAGTAAGCATCTGATCGAAACTAACATGTCACATGTAAAAGTAATTCAAAATAACATTTTGAGAAGTCCTTCATACATTCCATGTAATTGTCAAACAAGAAGAGTATTAACCAGTGGATGAAACATGGTTTTCAGTTGACGATAAGAGAAATAGTTTGAATGCCGGTAAGTGGAGAGTTCATAATTTTTTTAGACGCATCACCTTATTCCCTGATATATGTTCAATGAATCAACAGACCGAAGTAAACAATTTGTAAATTCTGTATTTTCTTGAAAACTGTTTCCTGGGGATGTACGATGAATGTTAACAGCTTTTCAACAAGTCAACAACCTATCAACATTTTATTCAGAAATGTTTCAAGTTGTTATTCATCGAAGACTGACATCAGTTGGAGGAACAAAGGAAACCTGGGAGGTTTCCTTTGTTCCTCCAACTGATGTCAGTCTTCGATGAATAACAACTTGAAACATTTCCAAATCTCCAAAACCCCCTCAAAAATTTTATTCAGAGTCAATAACTGTCTCAATCCTAGCTGATATTATTAGAAAAATCAGGGAATGGATATCTGATTGATATAATGACTGAATAACAATTTGTTTGAAGCTATTTCGAAGATAAACTAATAACTGAAGAAAATGAGAATTCTGGGATGAATGTATTGGACAAAATTAGGAACAACTTCCCTTCAGTTTCTGTTAACACTAAGATGGAAAAAGCCAACAGTATCCTACTCTTAGATATCTTAGTGATGAAGAAAAAGTTGTTTCGAAGCAACTGATTATTTTCAACAATGATTCAATAACTGTAGTCAGTATTGTAGACCAAAGCACTAGGTTGGTTGTTTGCTTTTAAAGTCATGCGAAGCTCTGAATCGTTTAGATTGTTTATCTATCTAAAGAACACTACTAGTGCTTACATTTTATCTCATTCATTTATATTCAGTTTGATGACCTCCCTGAAAAAGTCTCCACATGATTATAGGACTGTATAGAATGTAATATTGATAAGCGGTATCATTTGATGAGTGTATAATTAAGAGAATGAGTATTTGACTAACTAGTACAAAACAACTTATTTATTTGAATATAAGATGAATAGCATCCTAGAATTTTTCCGTATCTCGGTGCTAAAATTAAAGATACGCAACCTAAAAATAGGTGGCACACTAGTTCTTTGTTTATAACGCATCAGTTTTTATCCAGATAATAATGAATAAAAATGTTAAGCCACGTGAAGATAAAGATATTTTTCTAAGCAATGTTTACTCCTGGAAAGTTGATAAATCATCTGTGTACCAAGATTAAAATATTTACTTAGTTCTATATTTATTCTTGAATGAGACAATCTAAGCAGATTTTACGCTTATTACTCATCAGTTTAATATTGGTTATGTTCTGAAAACGCTATTCAGCGTCCTAGAAAAATGGCTAACATCCAGGAATTATGTAAGGACCTAATACTAATAAAACCTCCAAAATCAGCTTTTCTTGTTAAGGGCTTTATCCTTATTCTCATGTTCTCTGAGGTGGCAAACTTCTCTAGGTTATGGTATGGGAATTGAAATTTAACCTTATCAAACTACACATTCCACTTAAAGCATTTGTGCTTAATCTACTGGAAATGAGAATAAGGCCCCCAAAAGGCAATTGTGAGCAGGTTTTACGTTTTCAATTAGTATACATGGCTGTTAATAATAAGCACGTCTAACGATGTTGCTAACCAAGAATTGGTTGAGATCAAATCTTAGGACAATCAATAAATTCACTCCAACCAGAAACTCAGGTAGTCTGAATTCTGTTAGGCTTCGTTCAAAAGCACATTATTAAACTGAATTATTTCTACAAATTTTAACTGGAATATTATCTTGGAAACTTATCAAGCAGTTGTGTTATGTACCTTCAAAATCAGGTCAATTTTTAAGGAAGTTACTTCTGTGTAAGAGCTGTTTTGCTGAAAATAAATT